AAAAACTCAATAAAATCGAAACAAAATATCCCAGTACTATTATATAATAATAAATACATTTTTGACGATAATGAAAAATGTGAAATATTCGGAAATTATTTTTCAGAAATTTTCACTAATAATTTTGGGACAAACAATAAAAAACCAGAATTCACATTAAATATAAGAAATACACTAGAAGACATAGACTTTGACATAATAACAGTGGCAAATACACTTAAAAACCTCCCTAATAAAAACTCTACAACTCAAAATGACATATCTTATAAGATTCTAAAAAACTGTCACGACATCCTGGCACCCACACTTTGCGAACTATTCCGTAACTCACTAGACTCTGGGGACTTACCTGACAAATGGAAACATTCAATAATAATACCTATTTATAAAAATGGCAACAGAGCATGTATTCAAAACTATCGCCCTATCTCACTAACCTCCACAACATGTAGGGTCTTTGAAAAAATACTAGCATCAGAAATACTAAAATTTTTATTGGAAAATGATCTAATCTCAAAACATCAATTTGGGTTTCTCCCCAAACGGTCCACTACCACACAAATGATTCTTACACTTACAAAATGGTATGAGGGATTAATAAACAACCAAAATATAGATATAATTTATGTCGACTTCCAAAAGGCCTTCGATAAGGTTCCAATAAACTATTTACTAGAAAAATTATATGCGTATGGAATTAGGGGAAAAATACACAAATGGATTACAAATTTTTTACAAAATAGAACATTCTCTGTGGGAATTAAGGATGAAAAATCAAAAACATTCACTACCCATTCAGGTGTCCCACAAGGTACCATTTTAGCTCCTTTACTTTTTACTATATACATAAACGACCTACCTACAAGACTAGGGCCTAATATATCTCCATCACTATATGCTGATGATTTAAAAATAACATATTCATATAAAACAAACGATAGCCTTTTGCAAGAAAAACTAAATATTTTAACTGAATGGGCGAAAGATTGGGGACTAAACATAGCTCTAAATAAATCCTTCACACTTTATATAGGAAGTAAAAATCCCAAAAAATCATATAAGCTAGAAGATCACCACTTACAAGAAATGAGTATAATAAGAGACCTAGGCATACTAGTAGATAATAATCTATCATTTAACAAACACATAAAAACAATATCTAGAAACGCATTCCTTAGGTGTCATCAACTATTAAGAATCATACATACTTATAATCCCAAAATTTGGGGCAATTTATTTAAAACCTATGTACTTCCAATACTCGAATACGCATCACCTTTATGGAACCCTAAGCAAAAAGTTTTGATTAATACTTTAGAAAAAGTACAAAAATTTTACACAAGAGTCGCTCTTAAAAAATGTAGAAACAAAAAATTCAAATATCAAGACAGGTTAAAATTATTCCAATTAGAACCTCTTCTCATAAGAAGATATTACATAGACTTAGTCACAATGTATAAAATATACTTCAATCTAACAAGCTTAAACCCTAACGAAATGTTTATACAAAATTCTAGGCCTACTAGAAAACACAATTATATGATCCAAGTTTCACATAAAAATAATAAAACTTCGAATTCTTTCATTAACAGAACAACAACCATTTGGAATTTACTCCCTAAGGAAATTTTTATTGACCATACAATTAACAAATTTAAAAACAATTTAAAAATATGCCTACCCCCAATCCTGGGAAAACTCAACATATCAATTTAACATACCCTAAGAACAACACTAAAAAATTTAAATAATTGCCTAAATTATGTATTGACTTTCTCACACTACTTATAAATAAATATACATACCATCTAAAATAATTTTGTTTAAACCTACCACGCCCAAAACATTTATAAACCAAAATTCCTATCTCAACTCGACCCCATTTTTATTTTTTATGCTTATTTTTTAAAATGATTTATTTTTCGTTTTTTTTTTATTAGTATTTTTTTGTAACCAAAATATATATTTTTTAAGAATACCTATTTCAACTTTCTTTTTAAGCACCAGTTAAATCAATTTAAACTTTTGTGTTCCTAATTTATTTCTAAAAATCATACTTACCTTATTATTCTTCTTTTCTACTTAAAATTAAATTCTTAACATTATTTTTACATTTCAATCGTTACATATATTTGTATACATTTAGTCTCCATATTAGCGGTATATTGTATACCCTTTGGAGTTATGGATAAATTTGAATTTGAAATTTGAATTTGGATATTGTTTCGAACTTCCAGGGAGTAATTAATCGAGGGAGGGCAATTATACGAGGTTTGAAATTTGAACGTGATTTAGAGCATTTCTTTGGGGGTAATTATTGTTTCAATCTATCGCTGGATGGGGTAATTAATGGAAGTGGGGTATTTATTTGAGGGAGGGCAATTAATACAGGTTATACTGTAATTATTAATTTGTCTGTTGATGAGTAATTCCTGGAAATTAATCATATTTTTCAAAATTATATAGACAACGAGTGTGTGTGGCCTAATAAAGCAAAACTCAAACCTGTTGGAGGTGATGATTCATTGTTTAAATTAAAAATAAACCAAAAAATTAGAAAATTAAACAAAAAGTTGAAAAGAGTTGTAGTATGGATTATAAATAGAATTTTTTGGTAAAACGGATAAAAAGAATGAATAAAAATTTATGATATTTTAAGTTATGATCAATTTTGAATATTATATTTATTTAGTATCCCTTCCATTTAAAGATTAAAAACGAATAAACAATAGGGTAAAGAGTAAATAGATTTCCTTAAAAATGTAGATTCATCAACTTTTTTATTTAATATCTCCTTTTTACGAAATTTATTCCAAGTTGCTTTTCATTCTTTTGTCAATCTATAACAGACCGACATTTGTAAGTTTGCAAAAAAATCAGAAGAAAAAATCGGAAATGCTGAATTAAAGAAGTTACTCGAATGTTTTTCAACAATTTTGAAATAAAAAAATTTCTTGAAACTTCTTTCCATGTCATCTTAACCGTCGTCTTCTTGGGGGAATGAACTTTCAAACAATAAAAAAATTCCAATGGATTTGAGATTGATAAAATTTTTGTAAAGTTAACTGAGAAAGACGTCAACTTTTTGAAAAGCTGCAAGGCTTCGGAATTAATCAGACAATAATGTGATATGTAAAATAAATAATTATACACAAATTATACAAAATGTTTCTCAACAACAGTTTAAAATAAAAATGTCTTTTAGTGAGCTGTGCAGTCTGAACAAAAAAAGTAATTGAGCCTTTCAAATAGAAGCTATAGGTAAAATGTTTTGAAACCTCTTGATATTTGTTTTGTGATAAAATAGGAATTATTGTCTTTGATTGAAACGACCCCACAAAAATGTCTCCTGGCTAAAAATGTGATGCATTCCTTGTTCTCACATATGTACAAATACTCGAATAAGATACATCTTAAATTTGGCTGACCATCGGTGGCCATTACTTATTTAAATCAGAATTTTTAAAAATCAGAATTTTTTTAATCTGAATTTTTTAAAAATCAGAATTTTTTTAATCTGAATTTTTTAAAAATCAGAATTTTAATTTTCAGAATTTTATTTTTCAGAATTTTAATTTTTTAAAAATCAGAATTTTAACATCAAGTTCCTTTTGTCGTTTACCTTTTTCTACTTTCCCATTTTTGTTTTTTTTAAAAATATTTCTTTTGATATTTTCAAAATGACAGAAAATAAAAAATATTGTTAGGATGATGAGAGTGCACGACGTCTAAACGGGAAATCTAATCGTCTCGCAACGAGAAAAATTAGGCTCCGTACAAAAGACCGGTAGAAAAAAGACCGGCAAGGGCAAAAATGGGCAAAAGACCGTTTTTTTTTCCCGTTGCGGTCTTTTTTGCTCCGGTCTTTTGTTCAGAAACGAAAAATTAAATGAAAATTCCTCAACACACTCTCTCGCTTCTTACTTATTCTCATTTTCCCGCTTTTTTTCCCAAAATTTATTTTTAATTTTTATGAAATTTAAAAATAAGACTGAGGAGAATGTTTAAAAAAGTCTTGGATTTTTCATAAAAAAAATTGTGATATGTATGAATTTTACTAAAATTTTTACTTCAGTAACTCATTTTTAGGCTAAACTACAGTTTCCGTACCAGGCTCAGAATTGGACGATTTATATGTCATTCGAAAGAGCTCGTCGAGCTGAGTTGGATGACACCAAAATTTTTCAGCGGAAAAAATTCTGAGCCGAGTTACAGACCCCTAAAGTTCAAAAAACGATAGGGGGGACCAAGCTGATTTCTGGGGGTGAAAAATTCGAATATGCAAATTATACCTCATTCGAAAGAGCTCATCGAGCTGAGTCGAATGACACCAAAATCAATGAAATCAGACGTCATTTGACAAAGTTACGACCGTTTGTTTTAGCCCCTTCCACAAGGGTTTCGCGGAAAAAAGTTTTTGCCGCTGCGGAGGAAGCCGGGCATGTCGAGCGGAACGACGGCCGCCGCTTCGCTACGGTCGCCGCGAGCGCAGCGAGCACGACCGCAGCGAAGCACGGCCATCGTGTAGCGAAGACCATGCCCGGCCTACCCTCCGTAGCAGCACAAAAACAGTTTTTCCAGCGAAGATTCTGTTGGTCATAACTTTTTTCAAAATCATCCAATCGAGCTGATTTTGGTGTCATTCAACTCAGCTCGTCGAGCTTTTTCGAATGAGGTATCATTTGTATAATCGAATTTTTGACCCCAAAAATCAGCTTGGACCCCCTATGGTTTTTCGATTTTCGGGGGCCTGTAACTCGGCTCAGAATTTTTTCCGCTGAAAAATTTTGGTGTCATTCGACTCAGCTCGACGAGCTCTTTCGAATGACATATAAATCGTCCAATTCTGAGCCTGGTACGGAAACTGTAGTTAGGCCCATTTTTACCTTTTTATGCCACTTTTTTATAATCCGAATTAGAACTTTTTTAAAATGTAATTTTTTAGAGTCAAAATTGTTTACAAAATTTTAAATAATCAAAATTTATCATTAAAAATCAAAATGTTGTTCTTTGTTGTAGCCATTCTTGCTTTGTTTGTAATGTAAGCATTTTTTTATGTTAACTAAATAAATTTTATATTATTTCAGAATCTTCCTTGGGTGCGTTATCTACAATTTGTTTAAGAAATGGCGAGCTCAATATGGAAGGATGTTGGCTATACCTGTGCTTGTAGTAACAAAAAACGATTTAGTTGATGCTAGTGATGAAATTGAAAAAATTGGTAGAGGTTTTTTTTAAATATAATTAGGAATTTTTTAATTATTCTTTAATATAATTACGAACCGGCACTCTAAATATCGAGTCTTTTTTTAAAACGACCCGAACCGAAAAACATCAAGCATAAACGAACCGGCTCGAACCATTAAAATGATCAAAAAAGTAACTAAAATGGGCCCTATAATTGAAAATAACCCATAATATATTAATTTGAAACAATTTTAATAGGATTGTGCCTTGGTATGATAAATTTGAATTCAATGGATAAAATTGATGAACTATCTGAATTGGTTAATGAATTTGTGGCTAGTAAAAATATTTTGTACAACCCGGATGAAAGCAGCAGATGTTTTTGTGAGCTTATTCAAAAAATATCTAAAATTATTTCAATGTTTTTTAGGCATGAAAAAGTTCAAGAATGGAAATGTTCAAATTTACCTTAATCGTTTTGGACATGTAGGAGATGTTCTTGGATCTGGAAAAGTAAGAAAAATATCTTTAAAAATTTTAATAAATAAAATTTTAGGGGAAAAATTATATTCTTTTGGTGGATGACCAGTTTCCGACGGCTGTTGAACTGGATAATTTCGGTATTTATTATCTTTAATTGAATTTTTAATTTTATAAAAATTAAAGGATTCGACGTGACTCAAAGTTCTATTGAAGAGGATTCTTTTTTTAATCAACCTGGCAATATCGAAGCTACTGCTGCATTTGATCGTTAGTTTTTATTTAATTTTTGAAAATATTTTTTTTAAATTTAGCAAACAAAAGTACAGAGAGGATTTATGAAACAACTCCAATCGGAGTTTTTCCTTTTGTAACTACGTTCAAACCTGATGATCCAACACTTTCTGGATGTTGTTTTTAAATAATTTTGAATTTAATTTAAATCAATTTTTAGGTGGAGCATTTTCATATTGTGAAATTTCGGAACAGCCTTCTGCAGAGTTTTCGGTTCTCATTTCTGGAAATTGTTCAATCGTGTTTATTGAATCAGTATTGAATGCTCATACTTACCTCTGTACATACGACAAATGGTTTTTAATGAGAAAATTTAAAGCACATTTCTTGCCGGTTTTTCTTTTAAATTAAAATTTTTACTGTTTTCGAATTTAGGCTGCAACAAAGAAAGATGGACCCAGCGCTGGTGGCGCTATTGCTATGGCTTTCATGAGCGTTCGTTTAAATAAACCGGCTAAGCAAGGTAAATATACAAAAATAATTTAAAAAAATAAACTAATAAATTCAGATACTGTAGTATTTGGAGAATTAACACAGGTCAGTCCTTAAAATGACGAATTAAAAATTTCGATTAATTTTCAGAAAGGAATACTTGTACCTGTTGGAGGAATGCGTGAGAAGCTTATGGCTGCCAGAAGAAATGAAATCAAAAATATAATTTTCCCCAGTATGATGAAAGCAGAATGGGATGCTTTGTCATCCGAAGAAAAGAAAGGATTTCAAGTGCATTTTTGTTATGAACTCAAGGATGCAATTAATATTGTTTTTCCAAAAGGTAAAATTCAAAGCTTGAAATTTTTCAAATAAAATTTATTTTTAGATGAAGTCGAGGAGAGGGAGCGGCAAGAATTTGTTGGTAATGAAACTTGAAAGAATTAGTGAGAATGAAGTAATTAATTGTTTAGAAAATTTTAATTAAAAGTGCTGATCTCTTTTTAAGAAGAAATAATACCTCTATTTATGTTAAATATCATGTTTTTTAATTATTGATTTTTTCTCCTATTTTTTGAAAATAAATTTTTTGATATTTAAATGTTTTTTACGTTTTAATAAGTTATTTAAATACTTTATTTTTATTAATTAATTTTTTAATTAAAAATTTTTGTAATTTTGAATGGACAACAATATGTTACAATTTTTGCTTCTATTGACAGCTTTGCTTTGTTCAGTTGCATATCTGATCGAGGATTCACATTGGAGGGTTGGAATGTTCTTAATTATCTATTTGACGTTATTTTCTTTGTCGGAAGCTGAATTTTTCTTAAGTCACGTTCTTACTATCAAGTAGTTTTCTCGGAAAAATAACCAGAGAAACTACAAGGCCAATAAACAAGCGATGTGCTTGTCTGTCTTACGTCATTTAGGTCTAACAATAAGCAAGTCATTTTGTTTTCAAGCTCAATAAAAATTTTTTTAGGAAAAAGTTCGTAATTTGAAAGATTCTATAATGAAACGACCTGTTATGAGCTTAAATTTGGAAACGTGGAAAACTTATATTCAATCCTCGCCACGTAATTATTCAATGATTGTTATGCTTACTGTTTTCCCCTAATATGAATTGCCCCATTTGCAAGTTTGTTTTTTTATTAAATTTTTATAAATTTCTTTAATTTTTAGACCGGTTTATGATTTCATTTAATTTTAGAATTTTTAAAGGCAATTGTGTTTTACTTGTTGTAATTGGGACTTGAGGCTTTTGATGAAAAAGTATTTTTTAAATTTTTAGATTTTCAATTTTCTTTTTAGTCTAAATGTTCAGAAAATTCAATAATTGTTGGATCATCTGGTTAAATGGACTTTATTGCAAGAAGTTTTTCAAAATTTAAGATGATTTTTGGAAATTCTGTTTAGGAAATTGTTCAAGATCCTTTCGATTATTTTTGTAGTGTAACTTCCTCTGAGAAATTTAACACAAAAAGAATTTTTTCTGCCTGGCTATATGCTCGTTGGATTCTTTTGGTCGATTCAGAGGCTCGTTTTCCTTCAATCCTTGCAAAACCAACAGTCAGCAATCCGTGAATTTTTTGTGATTAATTAAAAAATATTCTATTAATTTTAGTTATAATTATCTTGATCAAAGTCTCCTTCAAGCAGAGAAGTTGGCACAAACAATCCTCGAAGTCCAAAAGAAAATTTCACAAGCCATAAAACTTTTGGACCAGATGTGGAATTTATATAATGGAATTTATGTACCCAAAAAAGAATGTTTCTATCCTAATTTGGAGGTTATTACGGAGGTTTCTTTAATTTATGAAGATTTTAATAAATAATTTTTGAGGGTTCTAATCTTCAAAATATTGTTGAATATGCAAAACCGGACATACAGAAACACTTTTGGTTCTTTTAACTTGATATTTTTCAATTGAGAACTGCTTATGATCTTCTAAATGCTCATTTTTGTGCGAAATATTTTTCCAAAGCAAAAACACTTTTTGAATTTGTTTGTTTATTTTTGATTTTATTAATTAGAAAATTTATAATTTAAGGTAAGAAAAACTTGGCAAAGATTCAAAAACAACGATGAATCCATTGATAAAGAAAATAATTCAAAATTTTAGATGGTCTTCTCTCCAGTTTCTGCTGATCCAATTCTAAATGCCATAAATGCGTCTGGCGATCGTTTTTTTATTCGAAGTCAAATAATGCTATGGAAATTGGAACAACTTGCTTTTCAAGGGGTTAAATTTATTTTAAAATTTTTAAAAATTATTTTAGAATATGAAAAAATGGACAGAATTTGTAAATAAATTTAGTGAAGATTGTAAAGTTATAGAAGAAAATAAAGAATTACAAATGCTTCTTTTGTGTGATTCAATGAGAATTGGGTTTTTTTTTTAAATATTTTTTTGTTTAAAATTTGTTTTTTTAAGCTAACAAATTGGAATACAGATTTTTGTCGTCCAGGTTTCCCTCATGAATTTGTTAAAAATGCGGCTGAATTGAAACAACAGCTAAATGGTGTTTTGACTAGAGCAATACAAGACAACAAGAGTACTTTTGACATTTTTAGTAAAGAGGTTTTTTAATTATTTTTATTCTAAAAATATTGAAAATGTTGTTTGTGACTAGGATATATTTTAAAAATTTGTCAGCGAAATTTTTATCTTTTTTCAATTACTTTTTTTATTTCACAACAACTTAACTGATTCATTCAAATTTTCGATTTCAACAAGGGCAGATAATTTTGAATTGTAAAATTATTCCAAATAAATAGTCCTTCCATTCTCTCCCCAAATAAACTGAACTTACCCTGCCACATGTCATCAAAAAATTTTTTCTAGTTAACATGTTATTTACTAAACAATCGAGAATGGTCATTTACTAGTCAACGTATCAAGAATCAACCACTTTTAACTACTCCTTTTACAAATATTGCTGTTATTTTTTCATTTTTCTTCACTAAACTTTATTTGAAAAAGAAACAAGACGAAGCATTTAAAACAGCTAGAGAAGTTATTTGGAAGGTTTTAACTCCAACATTTGATGCTGTTAAATTTTGGTAAGATTTTTAGCTTCTGGGGTGGAGAGAGGGAATTTTTACGTATAAATGGGTATGACTATGAAGGACTTCCCCATCGTTTCCCACGCTAGGATCGGATTTATAGTCTGGAGTATGATGGTCTGTTCTGGACCGAACCGAAGAACCGATGATTTTTCGGTTCGGTTATTCGAAGATTTTTCAAGAACCGACAACGCTAGTCTTGAGAACTAAATATCTTTTCTATTCTCTCCATCATTCTTAGATCCATCATTCTTTCATCATTCTTCATACACCTATGAATTATCTGAATGGATAGAAGAAATACTTTACAATGAATTTGATACAATTTCTGAAGATAATACACTTGACTCTACAGCTGATTTATTAATTAAAATGAGTAATTGGTTATTGGGAAGGGGAAAGACGAGTGTGGAAGAAGCAAAAACAAAATTTAGAGAAAATGTGGAAAAACTGTTGGCAATGAATTCGAAAAAGGTTTTTAATTATTTTTTTAAAGTTTTGTAGTTGGAAAGAGAAAACTTCAAATAAATTCGGATAGTTTCCAGAAGTTTCTTCTAAATCATATTTTGACATGTCTCAAGACGATACGGGTTGAGAAAAAAGTCGGATCGGGTTCTGGAAAATTTCTTGAATCTGGTTTCGGATAGAAAAAATCCGGGTAATACGTGACATGATTGATATGTTTCTTCGAAATCGAAAAAATTGAAGGGGGGGGGGGTATTTTTAAATTTTGAAGATTTTCTTCACAGGAATTTTTTTTTTATTCTCTCCAAAAATTTTTGACAACCTAAAAATTTTTCTTCTCTAGTTTTTCTATATTTTTAAAGTTCGAAAAAATTTCTTTTTATATTTATAGGATGTAGTAAAAATGTTGAACCGTCAGATTCAAGTGAAAACGAGGATATAGTGAAGACCAAGAAGATTAGAAAAAATAAAATATAATTTATTTCCCATAATTATTTGTTGAATAAAAAATTATAAAATTCTCAAAAATATGTCAAACTTAACAAAAATGTCCTCTCTTAAGAACAAGCATCTTGTTGAATAAAAACTTTTTGTAAAGAACTTGTTTTGATGGAAAAAACATTGTTTTGATGGAAAACGGCTTTTACAACGAGAAAATTTCAAATCAACTGGAAAAAAGGAGAAAATTTTTTTAAATCATCCTTTTTCTGGAGGAGATCTAGAGGAGATATTTTAAAATTCCTCGTTCCAAAAATTAAGTAAGAGTTAATGCTTGTAGTAAAAAGTCGAAAATAGTGAATACCGTTACTGACTACTTTAATTTAGAGACCAATATTTTTCCAGATATCTCATAGTCAGGTTTTGCTAAAATTAACTAGTTGTTGTCAGTATTTTATCTGCGAAAATAAGCGGAGGCTTTAGTTTATTTAGTACTTCTTGTTTTTGTTTTGAATTAAATCGGGAAGATAAAAATAGTGATCAACATCTTATATGTATTTAAATCTGCCACATTTTAATCATTATATTAACGAATATATACATATATGTAGATCTATATTTAATTGGTTAATACTAAGAAAACAATCTATATTTAATTGGTTAATACTAAGAAAACAATCTATATTTAATTGGTTAATACTAAGAAAACAATCTATATTTAATTGGTTAATACTAAGAAAACAATCTATATTTAATTGGTTAATACTAAGAAAACAATCTATATTTAATTGGTTAATACTAAGAAAACAATCTATATTTAATTGGTTAATACTAAGAAAACAAATTCATTTTTATAATTTCAACTTTTTTCTCCATTAAATTTAGAAAAAATTATTCAAAAAATTCTCAAAAGATTGAATAGATTTATTGGTACTTTCTTGTTATCTACCCACATTTTTATTTTCATTTTCCCCTTCTATTTTTTCTTAATAGTCCAAAGATAGGTCGAATTACACGAAGCTGCTTTTCTCAGAAAATTTCAAATTCGACACAGGCAAAATATTTATTTTGTAAAAATTATTTTAAATATTATTCTACATTATTTTTCAGACATTTATTGGAAAGCGTATTTTAGTTTCATTAAATAATAATTTATAAGATATTAAATTATATAGCGATGATAAAAATCAAAGAAAAGAATTAATTCGTTTATATCGTCAACGACTTCCACACTGAAATTTTACGTTTTGTTAAAAAAAGGAAAAAATAAATCAAAATTTTGAATAAAAATTAAATTTAAATTATTTTTATAAAATAGTCAGGAAAATCAGAATTATTTAAACAACTTTTAAATTTCCTTAGTGCTGATTTTGCTAATTAAAATTTTGAATTAAAATTAAATTCTGCACAAATAATTATTAAGGTGGAATTTTTAAATAAAAAAATAATTAAATTAATTTTTAAATTATTATACATATTAGCCTTTGCAAATGCAAAAACTTTCCGTAATATAAATGCTGATAGACACGAAAAATATTTTTAATTAAATTATAAATTAAATAATGAAATATCTAAAGTTTATTTAAATAATTTGTTTATTTAAAATTAATAAATAAAGATTGTAATTTCATCAGCAAAAATTGAATTATTTTTTTTTGAAAAATATAGAGTTGTGGAAGCTTTTATTGAACAATCTAGAGAATCATAAAATAATATGTATTTATGGAAATTTAAAGAAATTTCCATATTTTTATTGTCTTCTTGCCGGATTGAGTTGTGCTAATTTTGTACAAATTTCAGGAATTCCCCCATTTAGTGCTTGTTGTTGTAATAAATTAGACAGACCATTATTTTGAACTGGTTGGAATTTTTGAGGGTTTGAATTTATTTCGTTCGTGATTATTGTCTTCTTGCCGGATTGAGTCCTCAACAAAAACTTGATTTTGAATTGACAAATGGAAGTAATATCTATGTAGTTATAGACTTTTAGCACAAGTAAATTAAAAATTAAAATTTCAAAAACTTAAAGTGACATTTTAAATAAATTTTCTTTTTTTGTCCTTTTAAATAAATAATTTAAAAAATTAAAAAGTATCGTCGAAATTCTCGTGATCATTACAAGATTAATTTACAAGATTAATTTAATAAATTTTATTTCCATATAAAAATTATTTTTAATTCTAAAAAAATATTTAAATAAAATCATAATAACAATTATAAGATTAGTTTAATAAATTTTATTTTCTTATAAAAAAGTTCTCTCTTATAATTATCATTATTATTATTTTATTTAAATAATTTATTAGAATTAAAAATAAATTTTACAATAAAATAAAATTTTACAAGATTAATTTAATAAATTTTATTTCCATATAAAAATTATTTTTAATTCTAAAAAATTATTTAAATAAAATATTAATAAGACAAATATGGAACCCTAAACAAAAAGATTTAATTAAGACTATAGAAAAGATTCAAAAATTCTATAACCTTAAAAAATGTAGAAACAAAAAACACAAATATCGAGACAGACTGAAATTATTCCAATTAGATCCCCTTTTTGTAACAAGATTTTACATAGATTTAGTTACGTTCTCTATAATATAATTTAGTCTAACTGTTACAACCGGAGGTGCCCGAGATTTAAGTAATGTAGACGTGCACAAGATTAACATTTTATCCGGTGTTGAAATGTTCAATGTGTAGGTGAAGGTGGAAAGGGCTGAAACAGATGACGAAGATTAGTGACCAGCCTCGCTAGTATGATCCAACTAGTCTGACGCTTTCACTGGCTTTTATACTATAGTGACACCATTAACAACCCCCTTGAAAAAAGGTTCGGCTTTCACGTAAAGCTGAAGCTTTACAATTGAGTCATAATTTCACTATAGTCTTTTAGACTATTAATACAATCTTTAAAGCCAGAGCGTCTGTCTCACTTACAAACATTCATTTTTCTTAACAAAATACAAAGATGTTGGATGACAAAAAGGCAAAGGGACAAAACAACAAATTAAATTTACATTAAGAATTTAAAGAAAAATAAAATTTTAATAATAAATATGAAAATATTTTTATATAAATTTGAATAATAAGAATAAATTAAATAAAAAAATTAAAATAAATAAAAAAAATTGACGATTTTTCTTATTTATTTATGTAAATAATTTTTTAGAATTAATAATAATTTTTATATGGAAATAAAATTTATTAAATTAATCTTGTAAAATTTTATTTTATTGTAAAATTTATTTTTAATTCTAGTAGATTATTTAAATAAAATAATAATAATGATAATTATAAGAGAGAACTTTTTTATAAGAAAATAAAATTTATTAAACTAATCTTATAATTGTTATTATGATTTTATGTAAATATTTTTTTAGAATTAAAAATAAATTTTATAAAAATCTAAATTGTATTATTTTTATTTTAAAATTACTATAATTATTAATATTTTATTTAAATAATTTTTTAGAATTAAAAATAATTTTTATATGGAAATAAAATTTATTAAATTAATCTTGTAAAATTTTATTTTATTGTAAAACTTATTTTTAATTCTAATAAATTATTTAAATTAAATAATAATAATGATAATTATAGGTGAGAAGATATAGA